GGTAAAACCGGTGAGTAGGAAACTTTTAATAGAGAAAATATACGTTTAAGAAAAATTTCTCGAAACAACGGGATAAAAGTAAACAATAAAATTTTATTACTTTCGATGTAATTGTCGCCCTCCTCTTCTCCGACTTCCTGCGTCACGTCCTGTGTCTCCGAAATTTCGTCAGCCATATCATCAATTTCCTCGTCGCCGGTATCATTGGTAACATCTTCGTTCGCCTCGTCGATGATATCATCGGCGTCTTCGTCGTCCTCGTAGTCGTAAATGTCAGTTTCTTCTTCTTCTTCTTCTTCTTCTTCTTCGTCTTCCTCCTCCTCTTCTTCCTCTTCTTCCTCTTCTTTTCGCGTGCTAAAAAGTAATTTTTACTGTTATTTTTCTTTTTCTTTTTTTTTGCAGAACTAACTCTATGTTTCGTTAACCGATTTTTTGAACTTACGCGACATTGAAATAATGGTAATTGACGAGTTCCTTGATCGCTGCGAATCTCCATTATGCTCGTCATCAATATCATCATCATCATTATCTAAAATAGAAATGTTTTTAATTTTCTTCTTATTGCGGTAATATTATATGAACTATATTTTACAGTAGAATATTTTTTAAATCATCTTACCTATTTCGATGAGAGGGATGCCTTGTCCATTACGTGGAGGCGGCGCATTATTCGGCGGTTCGATTCGCGCTCTTCCTAGAAAAAAATTAAAATATTTTTAATAAAGGAAATTTTCAGCATTTGATCAATATATTTATTTTTCCAACTTACGCACAGGAACAACCTCGTCTTCATCCTCCGCGTGACGTCGTCGTCGCCACAGGCTCAGACGCCCACGTCGCACGAATTGCACGGAATTAACGTGCGCCACTTGACGATTTGACGCTAAATAAATATTATAATTTTTAATTAATAATATTAATAATAAATCTTTTTTTTTTAATGTATAATTTTGTTTCAGCTCAGCTTACCTACTCCTACTCCTGTGTTACTGATGATCCTATGACGAAACTCATCAATATGACCACCAGCGTCATCCTCCTCATGATTGAAACACTCACGCACTTCTATATGTCGCGAGATTGTTAGCGTCATCACACTATCACAGTGCCCCAGTTTATGCATAACGCATAGTAACGTACTGGAGCGTTCTCGCGTAAAGTGCTCGAAAACTTTGTAATTGTTTTCATTCTCGTCTGATAATTTCAATATATAGTCTCTTGCAATCAATTTTTGATTAAGATTGCAAGCGACTATAAAAAATTTAGATAATAAATCACGAAGAGCCATTTTTTCACACTCGCAATAAGATTTATAGAAAGCACGCCCTCGGAAAACTGTTCGACACAACGAGAAGTCAAAGACAAACTAGAGTTAAATTTTTAACCTACGCACTATTTATTCACTCGAAAATATGCTAAAAATGACGCTTCCTTATTTCCTTCTCCTAAGTTTGTTCAGATTTGTTCAGCTAAGGTTCAATCACTAAGGTTCTACATATTTTTTGTAAGTATTCTTTCTTAGAAAGTCGACTATTTCTTATTTGCTAAAAGCTTTTCTAAGTTAAATGATCTTTTTTTTTCCTTACCGTATAATCGACAAAAAATTTACTCTTCTGTCAAACCATATTTCATTTTTTCAATAATTTTTGAAAAGCAGAACGGACAGATTATCATAAAACAAATTTGTACGCTTCTGT